TGATGACCCTTTTGTTCGTGTATTAACAGCAAGGATATGACCACAATGGCTGATAAGGACATACTTTGTGTGTAGTAGGGGCATGAAGTGGTTATTCCAAGGCAAAACAACCAGGCGGGGCGAAAACCAGCAACTGCGCGACCGAAGACTACAACCTTCTCGCTGCAACGACCATCGTCGCCGACATCAACTATTTATATTTTCGTCTGTCTCTCCAGGAGAAGGATTTGAATATAAACTTGAGATGTCTGAAGAAAAATAAAGAAAAAGGATGGAGAAAACAACTGGATCTAAAGGATTACATAACAAAGAACTGGACAGAATTACATAATCAGGAGCTTGATCGTGTTCACGCTTCACTTAATATTGGCTGATCACTAAAGAAAGGCGAGGGAGATATGAACCGAACAAGTAACACGCACGTACAAAATGAGAAAAGCTTGTAATATTTTGGTTGGAAAACCTCTTCCATTTGGAAGACCATAGCGTGGGTGTAAGGATAATGTCAAAATTAATCTTGGAGAAATATCCTCGCTTCGAATTTCGTGTTTGCTGATCTTTGTTATAACATTGATATTGGAGTACGTGCAGAAAGAGAAATATTGTTATTGGAGTGTACTGGTATCACTGCCACGTGCAGAATTGAAGCTGTTGTCCCTACCAACAGTTCCAATCTGTGTCACGTTAGGCCATTCCATGTTTAATTAGACTGCTGATTAATCTGTTCACATCGCCAGGGTCATATCACAGGAATATGATACACCAAGATTTCATTGTACACAAATCAAACTTAAATGCTTTGTTGGTTGCAAGTTACAAATGACAAGGCTCCTCCAAACTTATTTGTGTAGGAGTTTAACACTGGTAATTAAGATAATTTTTCTATCAATTTAATACCCAGGGAGCGTGCTATATACTCCGGCTTGTTACACGTCTGCTCAACCGGTTAACGTAGTTAGTTTGCTCTTCGACGCACAGATGACACCGCCCGTCTTAACAAAAATTACATTTTCCGTAGAGACTGTATTTTCTTGTAGATGTCATAAGATTATCGATTATTCTTATAGTAGCACTGATTAATTGGTGGTTACAGTGGATGGGCGTTGTGTTTTATTTGAGGAAGGAACGGAATTGTTATATTCTATTTAAATGAGCTTCGTCCTTCAGAGGGTAAAAATGTTTATAATCGGACAGCAACAAGCGAAGCATTCCTTACGCTGCACCGCGCAGTCACCTGGTCCTCGACGTAACGCAGAACGATTTTACGTCTGTCAGTCGGCTTCTCAGGAGCAATTCGCTTTTATTACTGCAGTGGGGAACTGGGGCAAGTACCCACTTTTACTGCCGTGTCATCATCATGGAGAGAAACTAACTGGAAACTGCTTTCGTTCCCTCCACTGCACCAACTGGTGTTATACACAAGTACACGAAGGCAAAATTCCAATCCAGTTTATAGCATTTTAGGTGCGTTTAGAAGACCCATTAACTCGCTAGTTTCTCAAGGTATGTCTCTCCGTTAGTAACGGCGCATGAACTACGTGACAAATTTTTATTTGGTACGTCATAGGTGGGCCTACACTAAATTGTGCCAAACTATTTTTGTTCAAGTCTAGTTGAATTTATTTTAAGGACCACTTCATTTTATGCATATAACTCATAAACAAGTAGAATTGCATTTATTTTCATTTGAATTCCAAAGTCTATGTTGCCAGATATGAGTTCCAACAACTGGTAACTGTGAGAGCAAAATACAGGTTTGTTGTCATGGGATATGTTGGGCTTCATGTGTGGATTATGCAGGACTCAGATCTGTCGTTGTGGCCCTGAATCAAAATGTAACTGAGATGGTTTCCTTACCAGTACTCTCTGTGCCATGTACGTCGGGACACGCCTGGTAGCGGAGTAGCAGCCGAGACTCCTCAGTGCATGAGTCGATGCTGGAGACGGGTGAACGACACTCACCGTGCCCTCGGTTGTATGTGAAGGACAGCGGGCCCTTGAAGGGACACTCCACAGGGGTCGCCTCCACGCGGAACATGGAGTACAGCAACGCATCGCCCGTGATAAGCGAGCACAGGCTCTGCAGGCTCTCCCGCGCGTGACAGAAAGCTGTAACAGGAAGAGACAGACAGCCTGACAGTGGGTATACCAACGCAGCAGTCACAGACTTCTGATGACTACGGTGTGTTGCAGAAAGCTGTAACAGACGGGGTAGCCTGGCAGTACGCGCGAAGACTGTGTTCAAGAGCTTCAATATCTGCCACAACATTTCGACAAATTGAACTTCCAGTGTTTCACCCTAAAATACTAACGAACTCCAAGGAACAGCGACTTTGCTGAGAAGCTCATAGTCGCTTAGTTAGTCAATACACTTCCCTCTTACAGAACGAATGACAATCTAAAGGAAGTTGTAACAGCATGTTTTGATATGTACTATTTCGGATTTGTCTTGAGGGATATCTGAACCCAGATGGGATTCGGAGCTGATAATTCCCAAATAGGGTCCTGTCCAGCCGCTTTCAGCAAAAACACATTTCGTAAGACTCACATGCCACTCAGAAGACGCCCAAAAAGGGCAAGTTCTATGACGACCGTGAGACGCTATCTAGGCCAGATACAGAGAATTATTTTTATGATTACTACTGCCAACAGCTTATATTGTAAAATGTGGTATGCGATATCAAATCCAGAATTTCAAGCGTTTGTAAAAAGAAATGATATAATTTTGCAATACATGGACGTAATATTTCGGTCCCAGGATTGACCTTTCAGCATGAGAGGTATAAATAATTGTTACAGTTTCATATTTACAAAATTATCTACAGGCATAAAGAAAAGAGATGGCCAGAAATACAGCCACGTTTCCAGCTTCATTAAATGCAGAGTGGAATTAAGTGAAGTTCTAAAATAAATATAATGATCTTTGGGGCTTCAAAGTGATATCACATTGCCGTCGATAAAACGCACGCAAAAGTCTAAAGCTTTATAATGGGAGATCGTAAAATTAAATTAATTATCTTCAAAATTCTCTGCCCCGCACTTCAATTTCATAAACTTGTGCTGAAGATTACAATAATAGAGGCTAATGATCCGACAACTTCAAGGCGAATTTACACCCTCATTAATTTATACAAAAACAATTTCCTGAGCAGCTGTTTCATAACAAATGTGTCTGTGTAACGTATCGAAGTTACATAAACAATTTATAGCATTCGGGGTGTCGAAAACATTCGGACTAAGAGTTGATTCAGGATTAGCGTTGAACGTAATAAAGTTACTTTCATTATACAACAATACAAGTGAAAAGCACCGAATTATCTAGGATTTAGCAGGCACTTACTTTCCTTGTACTGCAATACGTTAGTGTGTTTCTCGTGGATCACCACGCACCGGAAACAGCCGCCCCTGCTGCAACAGAGACACACAGCACTCATCAGAAAGGCCGTAGAGAAGGTGACCCTAAAACTCCATCTTGTGTCATTACACGGGCTGACCCAAAATCTCCATTTATTTGAGATTTCAGGTTCCCACGGTGGTGAAGGTGTCCTTTAAGAGCGGCAGATGGAGGCAGTACGTTCCCCCGAAAGTGTGGTTCCCACCTGTAGTCCACCATGGTGTCAGAACCATGATGGTTGACCATACATATACATTGCCAATTTACTTGTATCATTATACCAGGTGGTAGAAATCTCCTATTTATTTGACAATTCTCTATATACCAGATGTTACCAAAACTCCAAATTTGTCAAAGACTGTCGTACTATTATACCAGGCTTAACCATATCTCAAATTCATTCGTATCACTGTACCGGATATGTCAAATTTACTTGTATCACTCTACCATATTCAAATCTCCACAGCTGGTACCATTATAGATCAACCACATGGTCAAAACCTCCGACCTGTTCGTACCCTGTCACCAAATATCCAATTTATTTGTATCATTATACCAGATGTCACCAAGGCTCTAATTCGTTTCCACCATTGTACCAGGTGTTTTCAAATTACAATTCACAGACCAAATTATGTACAGTGAAGCAGGGTTGTGCATCTCAAATGTGCAATATAAACGAACTTTAATAATACATCGTTTTCATATATGTAAAGAAGCACACACACGTATACATACGCCTACAAACACACACACACGAATTTGCTTCAAAATAAATCTGGCGCATTGCCGAGGACGTCTGTGAAGGGCTCGCCAAGAGACGCAGAGCCACGCAGTCTGTAACAAACGTGCCGACGCTCGGTCTCTAAATATCGCACAATTCCTCGTCTTAATCATAGTCGAAACAGATAACGTCCGCCGGTGTTTTATGACGTTACAGACTCGTCACATGACACCTCGAGGATGGCGTAAAGTACTTTTCTGCAGCAACTGCAATCTAAATGTCTGAAAAATCCCCACGAAGGTACATAATCCAGTGCTTCAAAGTGAATTCAAAACACGGGATTTTCTTAATTTACAACTCTCCAATATGTAGGGGCAAGGGGCCACCCCCTCCCCCATGTAGACAGTACATGTTCAGCGAAACCCGAGAGATAAGCTGCAAATGAGAAACTCTTTCCGCAGAATCTGGAGATGTGTGAAGTTACAAAAATTCAGGCTTATAAAAAAGAAACGTGTGAATTATCATCCCAGTCTCCAACTGAACCTAACGAAGTATTGCACATACTCCACTTCTGAACCACGTGTATAATGTATTTCACTCCAACAGTCCATGAAGGAATGCCAGTACAGAAGCTGGCGAATCTCAAGAGAAGACATTACTTTTGAGTCCGAGGCGTAGCTCGGAGAACAATATTAGAATGGATCTTATGAGAACAGCATCGACTGAATTAATCTCGCAGGAAATGCCTTGACCAGACGGGTGATTACCAACTACACGGCGACCTCTGCTGTGTTGCAGCTGTTCCAAATCCCCAGAACAGAATTCCTCGTGTATGGTATATCTTATCTATAACTTAAAAACAATTACAAAGCTGAGTTATAAAGCAATCTGCCTATTACATGGAGATTCCCAGCTGACACCAAGGATTATATTCATAACTGTACTAATGATCTGGGCATGAGCTGTGCAAATTATTTTGTCGTGCAACAAAGGCTTACGATTATCAGAGTCTGGGGATAAAGAGTGGTAACATAAGGTGCAAAGAACGTATTCAGCAATTATGAGTCCTTACTCCATTTTTTAACATACTTTACCTTCTTCTTGTCTTAGTTTCCAGCCGTTTCCGCGTCTGTAAATTTCGGTTTTCCACAGCTCACTTTAAAACATTCAAACTCAAAGTTTATCATCAAACTGAGAGCGATTCTCGCATGCGAGAAACATCCGAAAAGTTCAGTTGTCAATCAGTGTAGTATATTTAGCTTAAATGAACAGAATGACAAAATAATTGAGGAAGAAACGGAGTTTAACCTACAAGTTCAATCAGTACCGGGTTCTTCCTCGGCAACGGAGCTTGCCGTAGTGTGAATATCACACATCCTCATCTACTGTTGAACCTAACCTTTTAAATGATGAACCTGTTTACTTGTACTGCGCTGCAAGAAACACCATGCCAATACGCAAACAGCTGCAACGTGACAGTGAAGGGATAGAATGCTGACAGTTTTTGACATGCTGCTACAATTAACCCAACTAATAAAATTTCCCGACGTTTAGGAAATCCGAATGCCCACTACCATGTCCACAACTAAACTCTGCCCCAAGCTACATGAATCCAATACACGCTCTATTTCTTCAAGATCAATCTCAACATTACCATCCAATTTAAAATTTTCTACGCACGTCTCATCTTCCCATGCGTGCAACATATCTATCCCACCACATCCTTCTTGATGCTTCAACAACCTAACAGGGGAAATATAAGTTATGTACAAAGAAATGTGAACAAGACAGGGTTAATGAGTGGCGTTTTAATTCCACGCCATGATCATTCCTACTTACTCATCCACCACGACGAACTTGTCGCCCTCCGATGCGATGCATCGCCCCTTGGTGCTCAGGCGACTCTGCTCGATTATTATCGGTTGCCGAACTCCAGACTGGAACCAGCTGCCCTCCCATTTGCCAGGGAAACGGCACACTTCTGTTGAAAGATCCAATCACATCTGACGTTACGAAAGTTTGCATAACACATGGATCGAGACAAAGATACATGTGAAGTTGTCCCTGTGCCAAAGTGTCATTTGTGTTGGGGGCATAGGATAAACCTCTGCACCAGTTGGAAATGAAAGGGCTAGTACGCTCCAACAGCCAGCAACTTTACTCCCAAGCATCGACAAAATCGGTCAGGAGGTGGGTGGCCCCCAGAGCCGAAGAGAAATGCCCTGCGTCTGGTGGAAACAGAACCCCTGCCACCCAGCCCGCAGCCAGTGACTTTAATGATCTACTGCCGAGAATCTGGAGGCAAAGGGGCCGCTTATATACGCTACACAGTAGTGTGCTTACAAGGTGCATCAGCTGTTACGGCTATCGGTGATACTTAGCCTGCGTGTTTTCTAGTCCTTGGTCAGGAATGCAGTATTTCGGGTAATGCTTGGCAGAGACGGTCAAATTCACTGGGCGGTTAACTAAAAATTACCACGGTCTAAATAAGGCCACATACACTGGGTTTCAAGCCTAAAATAGAACAAAGATCCGTGTACGTGGATGCCTTGAAAGTACATTGGTGGTAGTGCAAATGATCTTGGACTGGTTTCGTCCCGTGCTCAATTTTTCAACTTTTTTCCCTGGCGATGCTGGTACAGCAGATCCCAGTACCGTGTTTAATTGTGTGAAGAGTTCAGTGGTAGCTACGAGTTAGGCTTGGAAAAAGTTTAGCCTGAATACAATTTACACGAGGGTGAGAAATTTGACGCTTCGAGCAGTTTATATTCATTGTGTTACTATTAGGTGTGTTAGAGTGATTACGATTTCTTACACAGAAGGGCCTAACAGAATCAATACAAGACTATAAAGACAATAAACAATGAGA